CTGTCTCCCACTCTCTCCCCTCTCCCTCATCTCCATCGTCTTCCCCTCTCCATTCTCCGTCTCTCTTTCTCTCTCCCCATCTCCCCTCTCTCCTGTCTCCCTCTCTTTCTTCTCCCTTCTCCCCACTTCTGCCCCCCTCTGTTCCCGTCTCCCCTCTTCCCCATCTCTTTCACCCTCCTCACTTCTCTCCCCTCCCCTTTAAGTCCGTCTTATCTGGGTGATGTAGAACGTGAGCACCAGATCTGCTGCACACGCTGTTAACGTAAACGTTGATTTCAACTTGACAAACATCTGCTCTCACCCGGGGGGGTTGGGCCTCTGGGCATAGCTGTGGGGGATTATCTTAGTTGAGATGAGAAGGCTTTTCCCACTGTGGGCGGAATCATTCCCTGCCCAGGTTCTGGACAGCATAAATGGAGAAAGGGAGCTGTGCACATGCGTGCATTCGTCTCTCTGCTTCTTTACTGTGGCTGCACTGTGACCAGCTGCCCCAAGCTCCTGCTTCTGTGACTTCTCCCATGGAGATGACGGTGACCTTGAACTGTGAGCTGAAATGAGCCCTTTCCCCCGAAAGCTACGTTTGTTGGAGTATTTTATCACTACAGCAGAAAAGACACTAGCGGAGATGTTCTGCCGCAGGCCCATAGCTGCTGAGTAAGAAGAGTGTCTCGTTATTTAGAATGAGCCCTCTTTTTAAAAACTTGTTTCCTGCCTTCTTTATTTGGTGTGTGTCCACGCACATGTGCCGTGGTGTGAGTGGAGAGGATAACTTGCAGAGATGATTTTTTTCCTTTCATCCTGTGGATCCTGGGCATTGATCTCAAGCTGTCAGGCTTGGCTGCAAGAGCCTGAATCAATCGGGCCTTCTTACCAGTCCACTATGAGCACCTCCCTCACCTCTCTCTCTCTCTCTCTCTCTCTCTCTCTCTCTCTCTCTCTCCTGTATATGTGTCTGTGTGAGGGGATCCCCTGGAACTGGAGTTACAGACAGTTGTGAGCTGCCATATGGGTGCTAGGAATTGAACCCAGGTCCTCTGGAAGAGCAGCCAGTGCTCCTAACCACTGAGCCATCTCTCTAGTCAAACCTCCCCCACACCTGAGTTTACATGCCTGAACTAACTCCCTTCCACACGGGGCTAGTCACCAGAACAAACAACAGACTTCTCTCAGCCCTAAATGCTGACATCCTGTAAAGAGCTGGAGATTAAGTTCTAAAAAAACATCTTGACGGACTGGATTTGGTGAGTTTCTGAGTTGGTAAATGCATCCACATTTGCCCCCACAAGTGGGTGCCATATCCAAACTCCACAGAGGTAGTTTCTTACAATCCAGACTCTTCTAGACCTCTCCATATGGGCTGTCTGTCTGTCCTGTATAATAATCTGGTGAGTGGGACAAAGTGTTTCTTTGAGATCTGTGAGCCATTTAGTAAAGTATCCTGTCTGAGGAGGGAGTCCCAGGAAATTCCAATCCAGGAAGACTAGACTTGGAACTGGCATCTGAAGAGGGGTGAGTGGAGACCTCTGAGGCACTGAGGCCCTAGATTGTGAGATCTGGCCCTGATTCTAGGTAAAATAGAGTTGGAATTGAAGTTTGGAGTGTCTATCCAGTGTCAGAGAATTGGCTGTTGTGGGGGAAACCTTATAGAGTTAGCGTTAGCAATGTCCTTCCTGTGTACTGACTTGTTAGAAAACTAGAGACAAATGTGTTTTGTTTTAAGGTATTAAGTTTGAGTTTGTTTATTCAGAGATGGGGGTCTCCCTAATGTAGACCAGGCTGGCCTCGAACTCACAGAGCTCTGCCTTCCTGTCTTTCCTCGCCCTTTTCCCTCGCAGCTCTGTGATTTTGCTCTCTCTCACCTCTTGCTGTTTCTTAAGGTTCTCTTTGCTGAGGCTCCAAGGGTTCCGCCTAGTCTTACCCATTCAACGCCTTGTGAGCCAGGGACTCTAAATGTTTACCTCCAATTCCTTTGCTCACCAGATCCGCGTGTGGCACTGCCTCGCTGATGTTGCCACCTGGGTGCTGGTCTCGCAGGACACTGGGACACAGCATGTCCAAACCTGAACTTGCGCTTCCCTCACACCCTACATCCTCCGCACTGTCTGTCTCCACAAATCGCTATTGCTCAGTTTGTTCAAGAGAGAGAGCTTTTGGGGAGTTGGTTTTTGGTTATTCACCAGTATTTCCTGCCGGGTGTGGTGGTGCCTGCCTGCAATCCTAGCCTGTGGGAGGCACAGGCAGTAAGGAGCGCCACACATTAGCCTGGTGTACATGGTGAGACCTTTTGTTACACACACACACACACACACACACACACACACAGAGGGAGATGGAGAGAGAAAGTTTCATCAAGCTATAAGGTGCCCTGTAGTGCTCTAGGGTCAAGGGAAGTGACATTCCTGTGGGGAGGGAGACAATGATGGACGTTATATAGCCTGTCAGAGTCTCTGTATCCATCCATCCATCCATCTCCCAAGAAGGGCTATCGAGGAAAATTGAGCAGGTGATGGCGGTGGTATGGCGCGTTCATTATAGCATCAGGCAGATGGTGAGAAAACGAGAGACTTTAAAAAGGCCAGGACTGTGCCGTCTGGCTATTTTGGCGCAAAAGAACGGTTCGTTCAGAGGCCTTGACCAGGACCCTAACTGGGGACTTGAGAACGGCAAGGTGGCCTGAGTGGCTGGAACAGAGAAACGGGGGAGCTTACCAGAGAGAGAACTGGTGCATCCTGATCTTGTAGGGCCTTGATTAAGGAGTCGGGGTTTTACTCTGAGTACTACAGGGATCTGTGGGAGGGTTTGGCTCAGAGGAGTCACGTGGCCACTCTGGCTACTATGTTTAGCACAGGCTGGAGGGAGACCGTCCCTGTTCTGTTTTTATCTCTCAGCCCTCGGTCTATTTTTCTCACCTGTTTGTTTCACCTCTGAAATATGCAGCAAGCCATCTGCTTCTCCCAATTTCTGTTGTCACTTCTCAAGTCAAACCAGCCACATCCTTCATCCTTTTTTTTTTTTTTTTCCTCTCTTGAGACAGGGTTTCTCTGTGTAGCTTTGGAGCCTTTCCTGGAACTCACTCTGTAGCACAGGCTGGCCTCGAACTCACAGAGATCCGCCTGGCTCTGCCTCCCGAGTGCTGGGATTAAAGGCATGCGCCACCACTGCCCGGCCAGCACATCCCTCATCCTTTTGTTCCTTCGGGTGACATTCTGGGAGCAGCTTCTGAGTGGTCCAGGCTTGGGAGCTTTGGACACAGCAGTGGCAAAATAGACTTTGTGGCACTTATGGTCTCCCTTGAATTTATTTATTATTATTATTATTTTCTTTTGAGACCTGGGTCTCACCATATAGCCCTAGATGTCCTGGAAAGTTCACTACATAGACCAGGCTGGCCCCAAACTCACAAGAGTTTGCTAAATGTTGGGATTAAGGCATGCGCCACCACACCCAGCTTGAATTTACTTTTAATTTTTATGTTTTGTTTTGTTTTTTTAATTTAAGACAGGGTTTCTCTATTTAGTCTTGACTGCCCTGGAACTCACTTTGTAAACCAGGCTGGCCTTGAACTCACACACATCCTCCTGCCTCTGCCTCCCGAATGCTGGGACTAAAGGCGTGCGCTGCCACTGCCCAGCCCCTAAATTTATTGGTTTTAAGAGCCTGCTATCTCTTACACTGTTTAGAGTTTTAGTTGGTCACTTGTTCATGGCAGCCCCACCTCACCCAAGTGGAAGCTTTCAGGTTGGGGCATAGCATGGTGGGAGGGGGTGTGCTTTGTAGCTAGAGTTTTCCTGCCTTGCCCACAGTCAGGACAAATCTGTCACCCGCTAGTCCCACAGCTGCTCAGACCCAACCAAGTAAACACAGAGACTTACATTGCTTACAAACTGTATGGCTGTGGCAGGCTTCTTGCTAACTGTTCTTATAGCTTAAATTAATCCATTTCTATAAATCTATACCTTGCCACATGGCTCGTGGCTTACCGGCATTTTCACAGGCTGCTTGTCATGGTGGTGGCTGGCAGTGACCCTTCCACCTTCCTGTTCATTCTTTTCTCCTCTCTGTTAGTCCTGCCTATACTTCCTGCCTGGCCACTGGCCAATCAGTGTTTTATTTATTGACCAATCAGAGCAACACATTTGCCATACAGAACATCCCACAGCAGTGCTTTGCCTGTGTGAGGTCTCAGACCCCCAGCACCAGAAAAGAAGTACCTGGTTTGTTCGCCATCTATAATCTCAGGGCCCCGAACAGTACTAATTGAATGCATAAATAAACGAACTATTGCAACAGTCTCCTAAATGACCTAACAGTTTTCAACTGTCTGTGTGGGACCAGAGAGATGGCTCAGCAGCTACAGGCCGCTCTTGCCAAACCTAAGGCCCTGTGCTCGATCCCTGGAACCGAAGAGAACCAAGTTTTCTGACCTCCACATGTGCACCACGGTGTGGCACCCCCAATAAATACATGAAATGTAATGAAAAATGAGCGTTACGGTGTGGGCAAAGGCTCACATGCATGCTTACGTGCAGGCTGGCATTTGCAGAAGGGTCCCCGAAGGACCACGCGTCGATGGTTTGGACGCTGACCTAGGGCATTGTTCAGAAACGGTGGCGAGAACAACAATATGTGCTGGAGAGGTGGTAAGATAAGCACTGCTCTCGCGGAGGACCTGAGTTCTATTCCCGAAGCCCGCACTGGGCAGCTCACAACCACCTGTAACTGTGGCTCCAGGGGATCCAACACCCTCTCCTGTGCAGCATACTGGGCAAGTTTCTGGCCTTAATAGACACTGTCCTCGTGTGGCATAACCACACAGGGACACATATATGTAACTTAAAAATAAGACACACCTTTAAAAAGAAAAGTGGCAGGGCTGGAGAGATGGCTCAGAGGTTAAGAGCACTGGCTGTTCTTCCAGAGGTCTTGAGTTCAATTCCCAGCATCCCACATGATGGCCCACAACCGTTTATAATGAGATCTGGTGCCCTCTTTTGGCGGGCAGGCATACACGCAGGCAGAACACTGTACACATAATAAATACATCTTAAAAAAAAAAAAAAAGAGCAGGATCGTGGTGGGGAAAAGGAATGTTGGGGCTTCAGCTTCCTTCTCTTCCTTTCTTTAACATACTGATCATGAGGGAGAGGCAGGTCGATCTCTGTGTGTTCAAGGCCAGCCTGGTCTACATCAAGCATACCAGGACAGCCTGGGCTACACAGTGAGACCATGTCAGTTGCTTTAACTTAGCATCAGGTGTACTGGTGCTTGTTGGTCCTCTCTGCTGACACATACCATGTACATGTACATATAAATAAAACATATCTTAAAATTCTTACTATGTAGCAATAAAATATTAATTAAGTTAATTAAAAATAAAAATATTTTATATATTGTATAATATACTAACATCATAAGTGTATTATATGATACATAATTGTACATTATACAATGAATACATTTGTAATGCTAGTATATAGCATTATAGATATTGAAAAAAAGAAAAAGTTGTCATTGTATATATTATAAAATATACATTGTTATAGACGTAATAGTTATCTATTGTACACAGTGTTATATATAATAAATCCTTATTCTATCATTTCAATTGCATTATATATGTAACTTTTTCCATTTCCTGAATAGATTCTGAATAATCTGCAGGCCCCCGAATGCAGTGCATGTTTCTGGCAATAGGGTTGTATTCAGGCCATTTTCTTTCTCTCCAGAATGCCACGCACCACGCCCTTTCAGGTCTCAGCTCCAATGTCACCTTGGGGAAGCTGTTCTGGCTCTGGGCTGGGCTGTATCCGCCCCCGGCATCCTGTGCTCATCCCTGGGTTAGAGTACTTCCTGAACTGAATCACATGCTTTACTCCTCCAACTGGGCACGGTTGTTTCTCTTTGTGGTAGGAGTGTTCTTATTTGTTATAGCATTTCTAGCCTCAATTACCAGACGTTCAATTACAAATTGTTCTGTGAATCAAAGAACAAATGCCTAGAGTTCTCAGTGGAATTATTATCCTTCACACTAGTCCATTCCCCAGCACATAGGAGGCATCCAGGACCTACTGCTGCGTGGTTGCCAGATGTGAGTCCTGATCCTCACCCAAGCATCCTTAGAAAAGTGGAGGGTGGTCTCCAGTTTCAGTGTGTTCACGCTGTGTGGCTATATCCCTCCTTTCTGCTTGAACAGAGGTCAGGAATGGGGTAAAGTGTGGACTTGCAGCCTGAAACCTGTGTGCTTCTCCATGTGTGAGCCTGCCATGGCAGTGATGGGAAGCCGCAGCAGATGGATGGACATTCTCTGCATTCTTTTTACTGGGTGCATGGAAGCTGTAACGCAAACACCACACATTTGATCTAATAGTAAAGTCAATACTTCTTGTGTGTTTTCAGTGCATTTAATGTTATAGTTACTATATAATCAGAGTTTTATACCATCGCCTCCCCTTCTGAGGTGATTTGTGGGACTAGTGGTGATGTGCCTCGGATAGACAGTAAAGGAAGCGGAGGTTTGTATCCTCTTCTCTGCTGTGTTCTACGGTTCTCTGGGGGATGTGGAATAAATGATTCCACAGATAACTGACCTTTAATTTTATAAACATTAAAATATTAAAAACGTAAAAAAGATGGAAACTTTCCCAGTATGCTGCACTATTACATTGACTTTCCAAAACAAAATGTTTCAAATATTATATTAACTATCCTTGCCAATCGGGCTATTGTAGTATACTCCAGCCATGTGCACGTCACATCTGTCTTTGCTAGAGAGGACATGCAGGCAGGGTGGACATATGCAGGCATATGGTATGTGGCCTGAGGCCAAGTGGGCAATGATTTTAACAGTAACACTGAAACTTGTCTTTTTCCTGTTGTTTGAGACAGGCTCTCATTCTCATAGCCCAGGCTGTCCAATGACTCATTATGTCCCCTAGGCTGGTCTTGAACTTTCAGCAATCCACGCCTCAGCTTTCAGAGTTCTGGGATTATAGGTGTGCGCCACCACACTTGCCTGAGCGTTATCTTTTCATAACCCAAACGAAATCTCAAACCAGCTGATGTTTGAGCTTTTCTCTGTGCACTCCTTCCCTTTTGTAAGGGGAGAACAAAGCTTATACAGATGCGTAATCTTCCAGAGAGGGTAAAATGGCTGCCTCCAGGAAGCAGTATTTATTAAAAAGAAAGTGAGTCACTTCACGGGGTGTATGATGAAAAGGGATTTGCCTGGGGGTTTAGACACTTTAAATCCTCTCTGTCTCCTGCAGTAGTCGGTGAGTTTAGTCTGTGTCTTCTCTGAACCCTAGCTGTGGAGGATTTTCTGGCCTTGGGTTTTAGGATTGGGGGCGCTGTGGTTGAACCCAGGCAAGTGCTTGCTCTTACCGATGAACTACGCTCCCAGGCCAGCCCTTCAGTTCTCAGAGTGGCTACGGAATTCTCTTTAGGAAGGCGTGAAACGGTTGCTGTTGGGAATAGCCAGCCCACGAGTGAGAAGGTAAAATAGCCACCCTTCTTCCCATGTCCCCCCCCACCTCCACTACTCCATGTCTTCCTGTGACCTCGGCGTCACGTGGTGGACGTTAGTGTAACCCAGTACCTTCATTACCCTTTCTAGTGTCTTTTCACTTTTTTTCCATGTGGACTTTTAATAAATACTTAACTTCCTACCAGCCAGTATTCAGTTTGTTTTTTTTCAAACCGCCCAACCTTTGTGCTGATCTAAACAATTGTTTACTTACAGGGTGGCTTTAATATGCTTTGATACCTTCTTAAATATATCACTGGGGCTTGATGGCTATCAGCCTGCTAAAGAATTTGAGCTCGGGGTGCAGGAAGAGACGCTGCTTCTAAGGATAGCGGACACTGGATGCCTTCTGGCCTCCACACACATGCACAGGCAAGTACATGTGCACACAAAAGCCGTGTACATGAGTACACTCACACACCTTAGTAATAAACAAATGTGTGGAATCTTTATTTTTTTTAATCATCAGAAATCTTATTTACTTAGAATCCTTTGTAGTCCCAGCTGGCCTTGAACTTCCTATGAAGTGGATGCTAACCTTGAACTCAGGATCCCACTGCCTCCACCTCTTGAGGGCTGGATTTACAGTCATGCACTGCTGAACCAGGCTTTGAAATGTTATTGGTTGTTCCTTCATTTTTAAGACTTGTTTTGCTTAGGCTAGCCTCAAACTCCCGGACCAGTTCTCCTGCCTCAGCCTTGCCAGTGGCTAAAACTACAGGTGCTTACCGCCCTCGTCTGGTTTAAATAAGCAGAATCTTTGAACACTCTAGAAAAATAAAGACTTTGAATTGACACTCTTTCTGTTTAATAGAAACCTACAGCTTTAACGAGTGAAAGAGTAGTCAGCTTGTCTTCATTCTGATTAAACCTTTGAGATTCCTTTCCTTCTTTCTCTCCTTCCTCTCTGACAGGGTTTCACTATGTAGCCTTGGCTGGCCTAGAACTCTCCATGGAGACAGGCTGGCCTTAGGCTCACAGAGATTGGCCTGCCTCTGCCCAATCTCTGGGGTTAAAGGCCTGGGCCACCATGCTGGCAGAGCACAGCAGGTAACTTTACAATCAGCCAACTTCATCAGCCTTACCCAACTGTTCAGCCAAAGACCATGCGCCGAAGGGGATCCTCTGAAAACTGTTCTATAGTTTTCCCTGCAGCCTCATGGTTTAGTTTGCCCTCGGCTGCAAGTACGACTTCCATGCTAAACGTTCTGCAGAGTTTCTCACCCAAAGCGTACTTCTCATGTTCTTTTTGTGGAGCTGAGGCGACATCTGTATAGTTTTTGCTTTTTCTCTCACCCCCAGCTGCTTGCAGGAACTTTTTTCCCTCCCAAATTTATAAATGTTAGTTTTCGGAAATTTGGCCGGTCACATTCCTAATAATACCAACAACATATCTACAACATTCAACTGTATAACTGGATATTATCCTAAATATTTGCATTAATATTTAATATACACAACAGCCTTTGCAGGAGACTCCGCCTAGTGTTGTAGCTGGGTCACTGTCCCGCACAGCACAGAGCAGGTAAGTGAGTATTGCCACTAACTGACTGTCTTAGCCAATGTTCTATCGCTGTGGAGAGACACCATGATCATGGCAGCTCTTACAAAGGAAAACATTTAATGGGGTGGCTTACAGTTCAGAGGTTCAGTCCATCATCACCACGGTGTAACATGGTGGTGTGTAGGCAGACACGGTGCTGGAGGAGGAGCTGAGAGTTCTACATCTTTGATCCTCAGGCAACAGGAAGTAAACTGAGATCTTGGGCATGGCTTGAGCATTTATGAGCCCTCAAAGCCTCCCTCCACAGTGACACACTTCCTCCCACAAGGCCATACCTACTTCAACAAAGCCACACCTCCTCATAGTTCCTCTCCCTTTGGGGGGCCTTTTCTTTCAAATCACCACAGTGATAGAGTCAAGATTTCAACACAGGAGGCTTCAGCCAGAGCCTGTGAATTTTACCCAGGGTAACCACTAGGCCCTAAAAGAGAGCATCCTAATTCTCTTACTCCCCCTCCCCATCCAGTTTGGTTAATACCAGCTTGATCATTCTTCTGCTACATATCTTGACTTTTCACTCTGGTGCTGCCTAGTTTTCTGTCAACTGACACAGCCAGAATCATTTTGGAAGAGGGAACTTCAATTGAGAAAATGTCCCCACCAGACTGACCTGTGGGCAAGCCCGTGGTGAGGTCTTGACTGGTAACTGATGTGGGATGGCCCAGCTCACTGTGCTGATGACACTTCTGGCCTGGTGGTCCTGGTTGTTTTAAGAGGGCAGGCTGAGCAAGGCATGGGGAGCAAGCCAGTAAGCAGCACCCCTCCGTGGCCTCTGCATCAGGTTTCTGCTCCAGCGTCCCTAGAGGATGGGTTACAAGCTGTGAGAGAATAGAAACCATTTTGTCATCAAGTTGCATTTGGTCACCATGTTTCATGACAGCAGGAGCCCTCACCAAGACAACTTGAGTTTTCCAAACCATGATAGTCTCCTAGCCACGGAACTTTGGTGTCCATGTCAGAAACACTATTTTTATTTTTTATTTTTAAATCAAAGGTAGTCAGTCAACAAGTACTCATATTTTCCGAGCATCCTCTGGCTCCTTTGTGCCAATTAGCCAACGGCACCAGATTGAGAAGTGGAGCTTCCACAGATGGGATGAGACACTGTCGCCACCTGTCAGGGACGAGAGACAGGAGCCACGTTGGCCGGGGTGCGTTGCTAGCCTTGTCTGCATTTGGCACACCCTTTCCCCCAAACAACTGCCTTTCAAGTCACTTTCTCTTTGTGTGTCCCTTTGTGAAACGCAGAGATTATTCTTGGTTTCTCACACAGCCTGGAGCCCCCCCCCCTCCGGCCCCGGGGGTGCTTCTGAGGAGCTGTGGGCTTTCGATTGTCCTGGACTCAAGAACCCACCTATGCTCTGTATTTTGAGTAGGAGACAGGAGGCCATTCACTTAGCTTTAGAAACAGGATGGTCGGCTCTTAGCAGTGTGAGGGGGTGAGTTCCAGGACTCCCTACAGATACCAAAGTCTATGCATGTTCAAATGCCTTATATAAAATAGCACTTGAAGCCGGACTGTGGTGACGCATGCCTTTAATCCCAGCACTCACTCAGGAGGCAAAGGCAGGCGGATCTCTGTGAGTTCGAGGCCAGCTTGATCTACAGAGTGAGTTCCAGGACAGCCTCCAAAGCTACACAGAGAAATCCTGTCTTGAAACAAACAAACAAACAAACAAACAAACAAAAAATAGCACTTGAATCCAGCTCTGGTTTCTTCTAATACCTCATACAATGTAAATGCTTATACTGTAGTGTTAAGGTTAGAAGGAAGACAAGGTAAAAAATCTGTCTGGTATTTTCCCCAAATATTTTTTATTCCTAGGTGACTGAATCCACTGATATAGGACTGACATATCTGGAAAGCTGAGTGTATTCCACTGACCTTGAACTGTCTTTTAGATCTGAAGCAGGGGCTCAGGAGAGGTGTCCCAGGTAAAGAGAGCTCTTAGGAGCAGGACAAGCTAGAGGGACTCACAAGGTTTAATGGAGCAGGCTCCTCCAGTCCAGTCTCTGATAAGGCCTGGAATTTCATGCTTCGAAAAAGGAAGCCAAGTTTCTGGGCCAGGTAGAACCAGTCCCGAAAATGTCCTCAGGCAGTGGGTGGAGAAGGTGCAGCCCATACAGTCCTGAGCCTGGGTCCAAGGAAGCTCAGAAGACAGTTTAGGGGTGTCTGGAGCTCTGGAGAAGTCTTTGGGGATGGGGATAAAGGTATCTTGCTTTGAGAAAGCAGCCAGGGGATCAGGGTCTAAGAGAATACATTCCAGAGGCGGAGTCTAGGAGGGACTGTGGGGGGGCTCTGCACGCCTCCAGCGGAGCGGCTGTTCCATGCAGCCCTCTGTGGGCTGGGCCACACCATGGGGGGAAAACAAGGATGTCTGCAGGCTGAATCTAGCCCACAGACCTATTTTGTCTGACATGTCTTTGTAGTCTCCAGAAGGGGAGTGAAAGCTGGGCACAGCAGCACATGCCTATAATCGAGACACTTGGAGCACAGAGACAGGAAGATCCAGTGTTCATAGCCAGTTTGGGCTATGTGAGACTTTCTCAAAATAAACAAACAAACGCTGAGTGTGTTGATGCGCACCAGTAAACCCAGCACCTGGGAGATGGAGGCAGGAGGATCAGACATTCCAAATGGTCAGTCGAGGCTATATAGCAAGTTTGTAGCAAGTTTTAAGCCAGCCTGAGCTGCATGAGACCTTGTTTTTTGTTTTTGTTTTTTGAGACAGGGTTTCTCTGGGTAACAGCCCCTGCTGTCCTGGAACTTTGTAGACCAGGCTGGTTTCAAACTCACAGTGATCCCCCTGCCTCTGCCTCCCAAGTGATAGGATTATAGGTGTGCGCCACTTAGCCCAGGTATAGGGAAAAAAAAAAAAGGAAATCAATAAATGAATAAATAGTTACTAATTCACCCTCAATTGAGATTCCTGATTTCTCTTATTTCCTCATCTTCATGTTCCTACCTTGGAAAGCACTCAGCTGGTATTGAGAGGCTGTGGCCGTGACCTTTAGACCAGCTGGAGTGTTCTGCCTCTCCTGTCCCTTTCACTATCAACCGTTTCCACATCCGCTTCATTCCATTCACCTTATCTGCCTGGCTTGCCGCACATGGGGTTTGCTACCTGTGTGGCTCCTGACCAGCTCCTTTTAATTTCTACTACCTCTCAAGAGTAATCGGTCCATTTAACAAGAGATCCTGGTGCCATCTCAACAGGCGAGGTAAGGGCTAGCAAGGTGGTTCCGTTGGCACCGGTGCATGCTGCGCAGGCCTGGCGACCCAAGTTCCATCCCTGGAATCCACATGAAGGTGCGAGAGAGAGGTGACATGGCATGGACTGTACCCCCGACCAGACACACACAGATAAAGAAATTAAAAAAGCTGAGACACGAAGTATACCATTTTAAGAGACTTCCCAACTTACCAGCGATAGTTGTCTGCAAGGTAATCTTTCAACAAAAGGTGTCTGTGCACTTTCACAAGCCCGTGGATGAAAGCAGGAGTCGGGAGAGTGAGTGCCCCGCCCCACAGCCAGTGTTTTTAAGAGGAAAAGAACTGAACTAATACTCACTTATGAAATGTCACAAAATCAACACCGCTCACTTGAGAATGCCAGCCAGGATGGGGAAGGACTGGATTTCTCAAACATTGCTGCTGGATGGGAAATGACAGGACCAGGGATGAGAGATCTCAGTGGGGAAAGGCATTGTGGCCTCCGTTCAATCCCACATGGTGGCTGGGAGCACCGACTCCAGCAGGATGTCCTCTGATGTCCAAACGTCTGAAAGGGCTTGTACCCGCCCCCACACCCAAATAAAGAAATGCATGTAATAGAATTATTTTGAAATAGAGCATCACTCTGGAACATCTCTTTTCCTCCCTCTTCCTTCTCCCTCCCTCTCTCTCTCCCTCGCCTTTCTTTAACGGGCTCTCATATATCGCAGAATGCCCTTGGGTTCACTATGTAGCTGAGAATGGCATTGAGCCTCTGCCCCTCCTGCCTCTACCTGCTCAGTGCTGGGAATAAGGGCACGTGCCACCAGGCCTGGTTTTATGAGGTGCTTGGGATGGAAACCAAACCAAGGCTTTGTGTATGCTAGGCAAACACTCTACCAACCGAGTTACATCCCTAACTTGGTGTAGGAGTTTCTTAAGAAAAGTATGCTGCTGAGTGTGATGCTCACACCTTTAATCTCAGCTCTCAGGAGGACCAGGAGGAAGGATCTTGTGGTTTTGAGGCCAGCCTGCTCTACATAGCAAGTTCCAGGACAGCCAGGTCTACATAGTGAGAACCCATTTAAAAAAAAAAAGTATGTACCATATGACACATTAGTCATACTCCTGGGCATTTATCCTAGAGAAATAGAAACTTAAGTTTACACAGAAACCTATATACAGGGACTGGGGATGTAGCTCAGTACAACATATTCCTAGTGTATGTAAGGTCCAGGATTTAATCCCCAGCACTTCTAAAAACCAACCAACAAACAAAAACAAAAATCTGTGTATAACAGTGATTGCAGCAGTTTGATTAATACTAGCCAATAAATTAGAAACAATTTATATGTACATGGAGAGTAGATGAATGGACTCTGGTGTATCCACACAATAGAGTAATACTCAGCAATAAAACAAATGAACATTTGACATGTGTGGCAAATTATATGAATCACAAAGGCACCACATTTAGGTAAAAGCACCAACAGCAAAAGGTCACATGAGGTATGGGGCTTTTGGTCAGTGGAAGGCCAAATCCCTAGTACAGCTGGGAAAAAGGTCACACACATACATGTATATGTGTGTGTTACATGATTTGTGCTTATCTAACATTTTTGAAAAAACAAGCCCATAGAAATATAAAATTAAGGCAGGTGGTGGTGGCGCACGCCTTTAATCCCAGCACTCGGGAGGCAGAGCCAGGCGGATCTCTGTGAGTTCGAGGCCAGTCTGGGCTACCAAGTGAGTCCCAGGAAAGGCAGGAAAGGCACAAAGCTACACAGAGAAACCCTGTCTTGAAAAACCAAAAAAAAAAAAAAAAAAAAAAATATATATATATATATATATATATATATATATATATATATATAATTAAAACAAAAACCGAACAAATAGTAAAAAAGAAATAGAGAATAGCTACCTGTTTTGTCCAACCAGGGCTCACTTCCTAATGTCTCTACTCTACTTCTCGGTAGTACGTTAAACTATGATATTTTAGTAATCTTTTGCTAAGGTTAGAGCCCAGAGGCTCTAACCACTGCACATAGGCCCCACCTCTGAACACCACCAAGTCTTTAACACATGAGCTGCTGAGGGACAGACAGTTCAGATAAAAATGGTAATAGGTGGTATGAGGGGGTTCTTTTGTGATAAAGGAGTGATTCCTTTTTTTTTTTTTTTGGACAGGGTTTCTCTGTATAGCCTTGGCTGTCCTGGAACTCACTTTGTAGACCAGGCTGGCCTCCAACTCAGATAGATCTGTCTCTGCCTCCCAAGCACTGGGATTAAAGGCGTGGGCCACCAAGGAGTGGTTCTATATTTTCATTGTAGGGACAGGAGCACAGGTCTATACACAGGAATAGCAGTAAACTCTAAACACACATGTAGAAGTACATGGGTTAAAAGGTCACAGATACAGAAGAGTTCTGTGGACTAGTTAACGGGTATATGCTCCTGTCCATTTGTTAATTCTGATGTCTCCCTAGAGTTTTGTTATACCATTGGGAAAGGCTCGGTGAAGAATAAGTAAGGTGTTTTGCACTGTACCTCTAACTTATGAGTCTACAGTTGTTTTTAAATTTTTTAATTTTTATTTATCATTAGTGTGTGTACACGTGGAGGCGAAGAGGGCAACTCTGCGGAGTTGGTTTCCTCCGTCTACCTTTAATGGGCGCTGAGTTCAGGTTGCCAGTCTTGTGCCATTCAGTGCCTGTACCTGCGGAGCCCTCTTGCTGGTCCCTTTTTGTTGTTTTTAGTCATGGGTATGGTGTGTGCCATCTGCCATGCGTGTGCAGGTGCTCTTGGAGGCCAGAAGAGGAAGTCGCTGGAGTAATGCAGCGGATGACAGGAACCAAGTTTGGGTCCTCTGAGAGCGGCAAGTGCTCTGGAATGCCGAGCTACCTCTCCAGCCTCTTGTTATTGTTTTAAAAGGGGAAAAAAGAAGAAACTAAGAAGGAAAGGAGGCAAGCTGATGGTTAGGACTGGCAATGGGAAGGGGAGCAGCGGCAGCGGTGTGGACAGCAAACGGGCCAGAAGTGTTTCCAGAGGTTTAAGCTCTCAAGGGCCTACGCTCACTCTTTGGCTGTCACTGTCTGTAGTCTTCTTTATTTTGTCCACTTTAGATGATTGTTTCTTCATTGTCTCTTATGTTCAGAAACCAAGAATTAGCGCTGTTCCTAGTGGCAACCCTATCCACCTTAGTCCAATGGGTGGAACCCTACCTAGGCTTTCAGTTCTTTCTAATTGTCAGCTTCTCCACAGCTTAAAACTCAAAGTCGGCTTCTTTGCTGCCCGTCTCTCTCTCTCTTTTTTTTTAAATCTCAATTTGATGCCATTGCAGTTGCCAGAAGTTGCCAGAAGGCTGTCCTCCAGATAACTGTCCCTTGCTCTAGCTTATATCACTGTTTTGTTACAATTAGCCTTCAGAATATGCACTGTCATCTTATTAAAATTTATGTTTTAGCTGAGAAAGTGAATGGAAAGTTTATCGTGGAGCTGTTGGCTCGTCCCTGCATTTCTTAGTTACCTGTGTCTGAATTCAGATGAACTTCTGAGCCTCAGCTATTTCAAACGGGCATCATGACTGACTAAGGGTAATGCCTCGGGGGCATAGTAACCTTGCAGACAGTAATCTAATTCAGTGTCATCACAAGTGCATAATTTGAGAGTTTGGAGTTTTGCCAAAACACACTATTCAAATGAACATTCAGGGGTGGGGAGGTGGGTGTGGACAAGGAGAGAATTCCAGAAATGGTTATGTAGCTATTTTAATGTCCTTTCCCTCTCACCTCAAAGGTTATGTTTAAGTATTGCAGCGAGGTGCTAAATAAAGCCTTGAGATTAATGAAGAAATCATAATGAAGTACTCCATCTCAGAAAGTTCCTGATAACCTAATACGTTCGGTGACTGTTGAACGGTTACCTAGCTGACCTTGTACTAGTGGGTGGGTAAAGGTGAGTAATTGTATGCCATCCCTTAGCATAGGCAAGTCAGGGCCCTGATGTCAGTTAAAAGAGGGCAGGAAGGACACCATTTAATGAAGGTCACCAAAGGGTCTCCAAAAGCCGGGACAAGTGAGCAATCTTAGGTCTGCAGAGATCATAACCAAGTCTTTGTTGGCACGCAGAACGAGGTTTGGGCCCAACAAAGTCCTGACTGGGGTCTCTTGCTTTTTCTCGGTGCCCACATCCTGTATCACGGTTTGCAGACTCCAACAAGGTTTTCTAGTTTCAAGGGTGCAAGGGTTGCATCTCCCGGAAAAGGTGACACTTGGGGTCGCAGAGGAGAGGCTCGGTAAGAGGAGTAAAGGAAGATGCACGAAATTCTGGACAAACCTTTCATCTACCTTCTCGCCCCTTCCTCTTCCCCGGGCCCGGACTGCTCTTAATCCCCATTCCTCACTTCTCAGGGCAACCAGGCACGCACCCAGCCTCAAGGGGTGGACGTTCCTCCCAGGAGCTTTCTCAGCTCCGATCTAGTCCAAAGCGTCTTCCTTCCAGGCCCATCAGGGGCACCCGCGGCGCGGGGCCAGCTTCCCCGGGCCACGCTGCGCCGCTGCTGACACGCAGGCGCCGGAATCGGAGCCACGCCGGGTCTCGCAGCCAGGTTCTCCGCGCCAGGCGAGGGCGGGCGGCCCGGAGCGCTTCCTGTGTGCGGGGCTTCCCACAATGCCCCGCGCCGGCAGCGGCGGCGACCGCGGCGGCGCTCTAGCCGCGCCATGTCTGCCTCTCGACTGCTCTGGGAGGAGGAAGAGAAGGAGGAAGAGGAGGAGGAGGAGGGGGAGGAAGAGGAGAAAGGCGCAGGGGTGGGAGCTGTCGCCGGAGCTGCCACAGCAAAAGTTCTCTCCCCTCCCCCTCGCCCTCCTTGCCGGGCCCGTGGGAAGGTCGGAGCCGCCGCCGCCGCCTGCAGTCGGTGACCGCGCGCCTCGGCGCCCGCCCCGCGGTAAACGCTCGGCCTGG